AGGCTGCCATGTGCCGCACTGCCGCAGCCCCAGCCCGGCCGCTCTTAAACCTCCCCTGCTCCGCTCCGCTCCGCCCGCCCGCCCGCCGCGGGGAGGGGTGGCCGGGGAGCGGCCGAGCCGGCGCGCGCCGCAAAGCTTCCCGACTACTTCTTGTTTCCTTTCCAGTGGGTTCAATGCGAGGTCTCGCGTCTCCGCAAAGAGCTGGGGCTGCCTGTGTCCTGCCACCCACCCGGCTCCCACCGAAACACAGCGAGATGCAAAGAGGGACCGTGCAGGTCATTGGGTCATCTGCAACTGAAACACAGCTAGATGTATAGAGGGACCGTACAGGTCATCGGGGTATCTGCGACCAAAACACAGCTAGATGTATAGAGGGACCGTACAGGTCATCGGGGTATCTGCGACCAAAACACAGCTAGATGTATAGAGGGACCGTACAGGTCATCGGGGTATCTGCGACCAAAACACAGCTAGATGTATAGAGGGACCGTACAGGTCATCGGGGTATCTGCGACCAAAACACAGCTAGATGTATAGAGGGACCGTACAGGTCATCGGGGTATCTGCGACCAAAACACAGCTAGATGTATAGAGGGACCGTACAGGTCATCGGGGTATCTGCGACCAAAACACAGCTAGATGTATAGAGGGACCGTACAGGTCATCGGGGTATCTGCGACCAAAACACAGCTAGATGTATAGAGGGACCGTACAGGTCATCGGGGTATCTGCGACCAAAACACAGCTAGATGTATAGAGGGACCGTACAGGTCATCGGGGTATCTGCGACCAAAACACAGCTAGATGTATAGAGGGACCGTACAGGTCATCGGGGTATCTGCGACCAAAACACAGCTAGATGTATAGAGGGACCGTACAGGTCATCGGGGTATCTGCGACCAAAACACAGCTAGATGCATAGAGGGACTGTACAGGTCATCGGGGTATCCAACCGAAAATACAGTGTAGATGTATAGAGGGACTGTACAGGTCATCGGGGTATCTGCGACCAAAACACAGCTAGATGCATAGAGGGACTGTACAGGTCATCGGGGTATTTGCAACCAAAAATACAGTGTAGATGTATAGAGGGACTGTACAGGCCATCGGGGTATTTGCAACCGAAACACAGCTAGATGTATAGGGACCGTACAGGCCATCAGGGTATCTGCAACCGAAACACAGCGTAGATGCACAGAGGGACTTAACAAGATCATCGGGCCACGCACTGGGTCTGACGCTAGCGCTGCCTTGCCGCAAGTGTGATGCTGCTCGGTTGGTCTAATAAAAGATCTCACATCTACTCCAAGTACCGTGCCTGTCTATATCCTTAGACCAACACGGCTGCAACGAAAAACACAGCGTAGATGCATAGAGGGACCTAGCAAGATCATCGGGCCTTCTGCAACCAAAAACACAGTGTAGGTGCAGGACCTTACAGATCATCGGGCCATGCACTGGGTCTGATGCTAGCGCTGCTTTGCCCGAAGTGTGATGCTGATCAGTTGGTCTAATAAAAGATCTCGCATCTATTCCAAGTACCTTGCCTGCTTGTACTGTAGGGATCAGGTATCCAGGTTGTAGGTGTATTGATCTAGAGGAAGAGGCAATCAGGGCTTTTTTTTTTAATTAAAAAATTCTTTTGAAAAAATCTCGGTCTAATAAAAGATATTATCTGGTATTCTCCAGCCCCCCGGATATCAGCAGGCCCCACGATCCTCCCCACCTCACCATCTTAGCAGGCTGGGGGATACAAAGCAGATCCACTTCTGAACCTCCCAACGCTGCCAGCTCTACTCGGTCGCAGTCTCCACCATCCCGAACTCATATGCCTCCAAGCAGCGGGACACCCTTGGCAAGGACGAGGGTTCCCTGTGGACAAGTCTGTACTCCACTCTGATCCTGCAAACCGCTGGGGACCTCAGCCATCACCTTGGGTAGGTATGTGGTGAGGTTTATGGATGCCCCCAACACCTGCCCCTTCTGTGAGCAGAGGGAGACCTCGGCACATGGAGTGCGCCAGGCTGCAGCCCCTTCACCACCTCCTCCAGAGCCGCTTGCTGAGGTCCTGGCTGCACTTCTCCCTCACCTCTGTATTTGTGCACTCCCCATGCATGGCCCCACCAAGTCCTAGGGCCTCCTCCTGGCCCTGGCCAAGCAAGGGATATAGCTCACCAGGAAGGAGGCTCTGACCCGGGGGACCACAGCGACTGCAGGGCCACTTTTCTGTCCCTGGTCTGATCCCAACTCCAGGCAGTTTCACTGGGCAGAGTTCACTGGCTCCTTGGACTCATTCAATGGCCAGGTGCACTCGTTATAAACTTTTTATATTTTCAGTTGTCCCAAGCAATTAGTTCTGCTTTTCCAGTAGTTTTCTTGGTGGGCATTAACCAAATAGGCCTGGCCTCTTGAGTCTCTCCTCCTATGACCACTAAGTCATCTCCAGACCCATCCATGTGCCGCGGGAGAGGCCACCAGCCATCCACGATGACGATTTCAAGTTGAATCGCACCGGGAAAGAAGGAGCAGAGTCCCCGCTTCCGCCTGCTTATCCGCCTGAAGGGCACCCTATCAAAACAGGGTTCATCCAGGGTTGGTTCGTCTGACATGAGACTCGCATTAAAACAGGGACAGGCATTTACATGCGAGGCTTTGATGGGAATGAACTTGACTCAGCCACGATTGTTCTGAGGCCAAGCATTAATTCTGACTAAAAACAGAGGCTGGTTGGATTCAGATTTGAGTGTTTGCTGCAAGACACTCAGATCTGAATCAAACCAGCTGTCTGTTTTTTAACCTATATACAGCGCTTGTGCGCCAGGAGGTTTGGGAGCCAGTTTGCATTGAACAAGAGTCTCCAAAAGTTTTAGTAAAGGGGAGCGAAGTGGGCACACGCCTCCGATGTGCTGCTGTGATACACCCTGGAGTGGAGTGGTTATGAGCACTAGCAACAGGTCGTGGGGCATGGGCCCACTGCTTTTACCCCAGATCAAAGTCAGATTCCCCCACAGTAAAGATGCCATGTGTCCACACCCGAAGTGAAACCACTTCACAACACCCAGCCACCAGGAGTATTCAGACTAGGACCCGTGCCAATGCTATCTGTATTCTGTAGCTCTTGCAACTCGAGCCAGGACCCTGTGCCCCAGTAGGCATCAGTCACAAGGTTGTTCCCACTTTGTCGAGTGCAGCATCTCCATGCCAGGCAGGCAGCCAGCCATAGGTGGAGGAAATGCATACCTGGGGTGAAAAGGAGGGATTATTCATACCCAAAAAGCTTCTTGGGGATAGACCTGGCTTGCATAGTACAGAACCGCAGCAGCTCTGACGTCTGTAGGGCATTGGGCCCTGAGTAAGATTTGCAAGTTCAGACTGTTTGCGGGCAATTAGGAGGCTCTCGGGTAATGGAGAAATGCTGTGCATAGGAAGTGCAGGCGGTATATCTACCTACATCCTAATGATCTGCTTTGGCAGCCTGGGAAGGGCAGAGTTTGAAACGTGTGAGTGCAGAAGCCAAGGCACTCTCTCTTTCTAAATGTCCTCCTCCAGGACTATAACTGTTTTAAAACTTCCCAGCTGCAAGCCATGTCTCTTCCCCTGTCTTGCCTTCTCTCATTCCCTGTGGCCTTACATTACGATTTCCTGAATGTTTTACGACACTCTCCGGCCTGCTGCTTGAAGATTTCTGTCTCTGGCTTCTCCGCATCAACCCCCAGTCTCCGTCCCCACCTACCCCCAGCCTCCCACCGCTGGGATTTTTGCAAATAAATCATCAGGGATGGGCAAAGCAAGCAGGGCTGCCATACCTCTTCCCCACCTTCCAGCTGTGTGTCTCTCTCTCTCTCCAGGGTTTCCTTTTTCAATGCTACAGAGCCTGCGCTGCCAAAATATTACTCAGTTTGTATTAATTTTAACGGCATTTTTTCAAGCATCTCTTTCTTCTGACGAAGGATTTGGCAAGGTGGCCCGATGAATCATTTTAAAATATCACTCAGCATTGCAGGGGGTGGGGGGGCACAGGGAGGGATTCTACATGTTATTTTAAGTTATATTGCTGACCACCTGTCAGCAAAGTGGTTTTTAGCATGAGCTCGGTCAGCAGGATGAATAGGTTGCCTGGAGCAAAGCAATCTCTCTTGGAAACCCTTGAGCCCATTTGGTTTTCAACATATGCCTTTACAGAGCTGGGAGGGTCATTTATTCCAGGTCTGTACAGCACCTAGCACTGCAGACCCTATTCTGTCTCTGAGGCCTAAAGGAAAAATAATATATATTTTTTTAATTTTTAAAATTTTATTTTATAATAATTCTCTTGTCCTGTCAGTGAGAATCAGGAGTGAAGTAGGTGTAAATTGGAGACCCCCATTGGGTCTAGATTTCATTCTCAATGGGCATGTCTACACAAGGTGCTAAAAGCACAGGAGACTAATTCTACTGCACATTAGCGTGTCACGGCGAAAGCCGTCCTAATGTGCTAATGCACAGTAGGATCAGTCTACTGCGCATTAGCGTCACCTAAAAGACGTGCACTGGCACTACTGTGCAGTAGCACTGATTACAGTGCATTAAGCTAGCATCTGTTATTACAGGTACTAAATTTAATGGATTGTAATTATGATGGATTAATGCACGTGTAGACATGCCCAGTGGCACCAGAGTCATACAGCCATAGAGAAGTGGGACTGGAAGGGACCTCCAAATTCATCTAGTCCAACCCCCTGCCTGAGGCAGGATTATAGAATCATAGAAGGGCAGAAAAAGAGGGTTGAAGGGAGCTCAGGAGGTCACATCTAGTCCAACCCCTGCTCCAAGCAGGACCAGCCCCAACTACATCATCCCAGACAAGGTTTTGTCTACCCGGCGCTTCAAAACTTCCAAGAATGGAGACTGCACCACCTCGCTGGGGACCCTATTCAAGTGCTTCACCACCCTCCTAGGAGTTTTTCCTAATATATAACCTCAACTTCCCTTGCTGCAACTTGAGCCCATTGCTCCTTGTCCTGTCGTCTGCCCCCACTGAGACCAGCCCAGCTCCATCCTCTTTGCAGCCCCCCTGCAGGGAGGTGAAGGCTGCTATTCAATCCCCCTCGGTCTTCTCTTCTGCAGACTCAATCAGCCCATTTCCCTCAGCCTCTCCTCACCAGTCCTGTCCCCCAGCCCCACAACCATTTTCATTGCCCTCCACTGGACTCTCTCCAACTTGTCCACATCCTTTCTGTAGTGGGCACAACTGGACACACGACTCCAGATGTGGCCTCCCCGGTGCTGAACAGAGGGAGGAATCACTTCCCTGCATCTGCTGGCAATGCTGCTACCAATGCAGCCCAGGATGCTGTTCACCTTCTTGGCACTGTGGGCACACTGCTGGCTAACATCCGTATCCAAACCATCCCATACAAATCCAGTAAAATTACACTGTTAACTCTGACACAACCACAAGACATAACACCCCCTGTGTAGTAATTGCATTAGGCACGGCAAACATTGCATTGACATCTGTTTTATGCAAAGAGGAGGCAATTCCCTTCCGTGGACTTATACCTGATGCGCATTAAGATACCTCCAGTGCGACTCCATGCTGCATTCATTACAGCTGGGAGCCTGGAGAGATGATGGACGCTGCCCTCAAAGGAGGTTCATAGATCAAGGGTTTCTTACCGTGTGCATCGGGACGTGACGTTGGGCAGTTTTCAACACTGTAAACATTTCCCTCTCCCAAAGTTTGTGAAGTTGGGGGATTGTTTTACAAAAAACAAGAGAGGAAGACACGAGCACCAGAGGAGCCAACCAGTAGGTCGTTCTGCTGCGGGACAGTCATAGACCAGGGACCCAATTCCCCCACTTCTCCGGGACGTCTCGGCCCCCCCGACTTTCTGCTGTTCTGGGGTCTCCAGTTACTCTGGTTTGGACCAGCAGTTGCATCCTGGACTTGAGGAATCTTCCCCAGACCTGCTTCACCCCCCCAAAAAAACCATTCATTTTCTACAAATCAGCCTTTCCCCCTGAAAAGCCATTTCACTCAGCAATTCCTGACTGGCTCCAGCTTGCCTGTGGCACGAAGGAGATGTAGGAGGAAGGGGTTGTAGCTGGAATGCACTGTGCTCCGGCTGCTCTGGACAGCTGTGGGGGCAGCTGGGAAGTGTCTGTGCAGCCTGGACATACAGGAGGAGATAATCTGGTGCTGCTGTCATTCATGCCGGGGGTTAGATCCACCCCACAATCCTCCAAGTGCAAAGCTGGAGTAAAACACTCCTTGTGCTACGCTGCATTGCAGACTCAGGGCCACACGTGAGTTGTGTGGAGCTGATATCTGGGTTTCCAAGTCAAAGGTGGTGAAAGGGAAGGAATGTGGAGAACACGTGAGGAGCCGGAGAGAGGATGGGGTGGGATGAAATGTTTGAAGTTCAGCCCATTGCATTTGCTGATCCAGAGCTTTGCATCACCAAAATCCTTTGGAAACAATAAAAAAGCTGTTTTGCGGTTGACATTTTGGAAGTCAGCTGCTGCCCACTTTCCTCCTGCAGCTGGCCTGATCTGACCCCAGCGTCACAAGGTAGTCATGTCACAGATACCAGTGGAGGGACTCCTTTATATCACTGCAATGTCAGAACCGTCCTGGGGGACTGCATCGCCATCTGATCTGGCATGGGCCGGTGACCCTCTGCCTTGCTGGTGGGAGTTTTAACACCAGGTAGAGCTGCTTAATCCAACCAGGGCAAAGCAAAGCAATCTGGAGGTGCTCAGATTGGGGTGGGCAGGCCAAAAAAACCTATCCCTGCAAAAGAATGAAACTCCTGAAACTAGGAAGCCATGCCAACCAAGAGCAGGATAAATGGGGCAGCCACTTCCAACTGGGATGGGAAGGTCTCGAACTCAGAAGCAGCACCAGACGACTTGGCCAGGTGAGGACTTCTCCATTTATTCCTGCTGCGAACAGACAACACTGCTATTAAAGTATTATCGTCATCACTTCTAACCAGCTTCGGGATGCCTGAAACAGCTCTCATGCCTCGAATGAAAGGAATAATTTTAAATATGCAACTCAACCCGTGTTCTGCTCCTGTTGATCCTGGCTTCTGTGAGGCTGTTTTGAAGTCTATTTCCCACCCCCACTCATGTAAATAGATTCATCTGAAGCTATTTTTTTAAGTTTGATATGTAGGTCAAACCACCAATGATTTGGCGACGTAGCAAGAGACAAGCTTTCCCCAAGGTGAATGATTGAAAGCAGCTTTTTCATTTCCACTTTAAGGTGAGCCTATTTGTCCAGACCTATATTTCAAACCCCTTTGTGCTTGCATTTCTTGTTTTTACCCTGTGGGTTATCTTAGTTTACAACCAGACTTGATACATAAAATCCTGGAAAATTCAGGCTGGAAGGGACCTCAGGGGGTCACATCTAGTCCAAACCCTGCTCCAAGCAGGACCAGCCCCAACTATATCATCCCAGCCAAGGCTTTGTCTAGCTGGGCCTTAAACACCTCCAAGGATGGAGATCCCACCACCTCTCTGGGTAACCTGTTGCAGTGCTTCACCACCCTCCTAGTGAGGAAGTTTCTCCTAATATCCAACCTCAACTTCCCTTGCTGCAGCTTGAGCCCATTGCTCCTTGTCCTGTCGTCTGCCCCCACTGAGACCAGTCCAGCTCCCTCCTCTTTGCAGCCCCCCTGCAGGGAGGTTAAGCAGCTCTTCAATCCCCCTCGGTCTTCTCTTCTCCAGATGAAATCAGCCCAGTTCCCTCAGCCTCTCCTCACCAGTCCTGTCCCCCAGCCCCACAGCCATTTTTGTTGCCCTCCGCTGGACTCTCCAACTTGTCCATGTCCTTTCTGCAGTGGGGGGTCAACAGCTGGACACAGGACTCCAGATGTGGCCTCCCCAGTGCTGAATAATAGAAGGGGATAATTACTTCCCCCATCTGCTGGCAATGCTCCTACCAATGCAGGATACGTGCCAAACCCAACCTACCATACATTCAGGAGCGATCGGTTGAAAAACCCAACCATCCATCAACACAGATCCACTAAAGACACGAGCTATTCTGATTTAGTTGAGGATCTCGCCTTTTAAATGCAGATCTGAATATAGGGGCATGCACCTATTAACAGTCCTAATTCCCTCTGTCCTAAAGGGAATAGGGTGGTGGTGAAGATGCAAGGAGGAGGGGAAGAGGAATGCAGTGCACTTATAAAATAAAAGCATAAATGCAAGTCATACATCAGCAGTACCTTTCCATGGGAAATTCAGCATCTGATTTGATAGGAACCAGGCTGGTCAAAGCATCGGAGAAGCTTAAAGGAAGAGCTGCTGACATGGAAGGGGCAGGCTATTTCTCTCTTATTCTTTATCCTCTGTACTGGGGTCTTGGGGCCCTTCCAGTATGATGTCCCTAAGTGGCACAGCATAGGATGGTGGCGGCATAATATGACATATAACTGCTGATGAGCCATGAATTTCCTCCTGCACACCTGACATGCCCTCACCCCGGTCTAGACCTGTATTCTGGGCAGCTCTCCAGCAACTCGAATTCACCCTCTGCATCTTCCTACCTCTCTGTCCACTGATGACACTCAGCTGTCACTCAGGCTCCTGCGGGTGAACTTCATCTTTTCCATTTTCTGCTGCTTCTTGGTCAAATAGCACACGCTTTTCTGTGTGATGCCAGGAACTGGATGCATCCTCTGAGCTTCCAGCCACGGCTCCATCATCTCATACTTGCATCACAGCAGCCTGCTTCTCTGCAGCCTCTGAAGTCAAAATGTGTGCTATTATATACATGGGTCAATACATTATATTTGGTATACTGAGTTAATGCACTTTAATTATGCACGTGTAGACGTGCCCCCAAAACTTGTGCTATTATATATATACACCTACTTTGGTTAGTCTATAAGGTGCAAATCTACCCTGCCTTCTACTTGACTTCAGACTAATGTGACTGTGTCTTTCAGTCTAAAAGTTGCTTGCTAAGCTCAGCTCCCTATGTCATCCTTCTGACCACACCATCTTCACCTTAAAGCCTTCCAGTCCTTTCTCCCCGTGTATAATATCCAGCCTGACCTTGATAGCAGAGATGTTTTTTCTTCCCTCACCACCCCCATTTCTGCGCTGCCCTGCATGCATAAGTCCTGCTTTGCATGGGAACCCGCCCCTCCCTTTCAAGTACTTAGTCCTGCGAGGCAAGAAAAAAAGCATGAAACAAAGCCAGCTCTGAGCTATTCCTCCACTGGATCTTCCCGGGCATCCTCTCTTCTGAACGTGTGTTTTAGATTTGAGTCTCTTTAAACTGCTCAGATGATGGATCTGGTATGAAAACCTATACACCGCAGAACAGAACGACACCAAGAGCATTGTTGGCACTTAACAGATAAATATAATAGTGATCCTATGAATCAGGAGACTTCTCTGTCTGTTGTGTTTCCACGTGTAGACAACTATATCACTCTATTAAATGCCAAATGCCTGCACATTTTGTTTGCCTGGAAACTTGGCCTGCACCGGGCTGCCATTATAAATTAAAACTAATAAAAATACCAGTTTCAAAAAGTACAAAATACACAACCACAGGCGCACTGGTGTCTCGGAGGGCTTGGCCAGCTGCCTGCACCTTTGAGCCTGGCTTATTGAAATCCCTCTGTATCCCGTGCTCCATATTGTGACAAATAACATTAACACATCATTAAAGTCCCTTTCACACAGCATCTTTCCTGCATTACGCCGACAGGATGCCTTGCAGATTTGGAGAGCGTTGGAGAGATGAACAGAAAAACACATCCCTGGTACGAGAAACAGCAACAAATGTAAACATGGAAGCATACGATACAGCTGTATTGATTACATAGCGGGGTTTATACGGCTCTTGAATGGTTTCATTGTATAACTGTCTCAGCTAAAGCTGGACACTCTAGTTTCCAACTTTTGGGTTCCAGTTTGTACACAGGGCCAAACTCATACCTGGTGTAACTCCATTGATCTCAGGGATGTTGTGACACAGATGATGTGAGTCCGGAGTTTGCATGCACACAAGGCTGTACATTCAGGAGACTGCAAGATGCACCAAAGAGTTGCTAACTTTCCGCTATTCCCTCAATACCTGGCTGCATGAGGAGAAAACAAAGTGACCAATCCCTTGGGAAGAAATCCAAGGCCAAAAGTTATCCTGTGGTCCTCTGCCCCACCACCCCCTTCCTATACCCGGGCAGATGAGTGGCCATGCAGGGCCTGAAATGGGTTTATGGTAGAGCATCTACTATATTCTCATTTGCTTGCAATTGCCCAAGCCCTAGCACCAGTAGTGGTACCAACTTGTGATATTAGCTCTTATTCCCTGCAGAATTGGTATCACTGTGCCCAGGTCCTCCTGCTCCCTGCTGGCTTCTCACCAACCACCCAGGTGGGTATCTCACATGTTGCCTGAGTATAGTGGAACTTGAATGATGCTGGTGGGAACAACCCTGTCTGCCCGACATTGGCACGCGTGAGCCCCTGCTGCGGCTTGAATCAAAGGGCCTTTGTACACACCACGTTTTTTGCTCTTTCACACGCTGCAACTGCATGTCTGTTCGCACGAGTGGGATTTCCAGACACATTGAAGTCTCTCTCATCCAAGGGTGGTGGCAGCAGCAAGAGCAGCAGCAGCTACTGCATCTCCTGTGTTCAAGCTCAGGCTT